GGGGGGGGTGCCAAGCACAGGATCCGCCCCGGGTGCCAAATGCTCCAGGTACGCCCCTGGGTGTTTTATATACACCCCTATATACTTATTAACCCTTAATAGGGAACACATGGGATGGTATTGTAACAAAGCTGTGTGATACAAAAAGTGAATACAAATACAAAAAGACAAGTCCTGCGCTTACTCCCACCACTCCTGAGCGACAGCAACAACCACAGTACAAATCAGCCCAATACATACAGTAAAAACCAAAGAAAAAGTTACCCAAATCCATATGTATATTTATTTAAACAAATGGAGAGAGACATAGAGCGCAGGACTTGTCTTTTTGTATTTGTATTCACTTTTTGTATCGCATAGCTTTGTTACAATGCTGCCGCCCATCACATGTGTTCCCTATTAAGGGTTAATAAGTATATAGGGGTGTATATAAAAAATACCCCTCTCTGTCTCATTATAGATATCTTTGCCAAAGGCTCAAGGAAGCAAGGTGAAAGGTCAGTGTAGAACCCACCTAGGGGGGACTGCCTTGACGTTGGCAGGAGGGCATTCCCTCCAGTGGCCATTGGAGTAACCAAATGACCTCCATTTGTTTAAATAAATATACATAGGGATTTGGGAGAGAGCGCAGGTAACTTTTTCTTTGGTTTTCAATGTGTGTGTATGTCAAATCAGTGAAAGTCTGGGTCTGTCAGTGACGTCTGTGTGTTTGTCATTAAATGTGTGTGACTGTCAGTATGCATCTGCCAGTAGGTGTGTGTCTGCCAGAGAGTGGATGTGTCTCTGAGAGTGTGTTCGTGTCAGTGTGTGTCTGTTAGTGAACATGTGTATTAGTTAAACAGTGTGTGAGACAATGACTGTCCTTTAATGAGTGTATGTCAGTGTATGTGTACTAGTGATGGCATGTTGTGTGTCAGTCTGCCCATCCACACTGTTATCCCCACAACCTGCCCCCACACTGTCACCTTCTTAAACACTGCCCCGCTATATTGTCACTTTCCAGCCCACTGGTAAAATGCAGGGAGGGAGTGGGATAAGCCCAATTTAATTTAAACTGCTCACCCCCAGCACTTATCCAACACTACATGCACTACACAGGCACTACCACATACTCATCCACTACACAAACAAACATTACATTCACTACACACACACTGCATTAGATGGGTGATTGCGTGCTTTTGGTGTGGGGGGGAAGGGAGGCAACATTTCATCCTTGGACCCAGGCAGTACAATGTCTTGAGCTGGCCCTACATTGAATTCGGTCCCAGGCAGCACTCTAAGCTGCCAGGCACATTTTGCCATCCTTCCAGGCAGTGTGCGGCTCTGTAAGGGAATTGCACAAACACAGTAAACTAGCAGGGGAGCATGTCTGTCTGCAACGGAGCACAGGGCATCGAGGAGCCCCCCTCCCCTGCAATGGCAGGTAAAATAGCAAACAGAGGGCCATCAGTGTGTGAGTGAGCACCCTTAGCCTGCATGTGTGTAAGCGTGTGCCCTTGTGTGTCTGAGCATCTGTATGTGTGTCCGTGTTTGTATCTGTATGAGTGTCATTGTGTATGCCTGTGTATCTGTATGTGTCTTATTATGTGTATGATACTGTGTGTGTCTGTATGTGTGTCATTGTGTGTATTCGTGTGCCTATGTATCTGTATGTATGTTAGTGTGTATCTGTGTATCTAGATGTGTGTGCAGCAGTGTGTTAGTGTATCTTTGTGTGCCTGCATATCTGCATGTCTGTACCTGTGTATGTGTGTCAGTGCTTGCATTTGTATGTGTGTCAATGTGTGTACCTGCATGTGTTTCTGTATCTGGATGTATGTCAGTGTGCCTGTGCTTGTGTGTATGTTTATTAGTATGTGTGTGTTGCTGTGTATATGTGCATACATCTTAGCATTCAAACTCCAACACTACACACAAATAAACCTCTGCATTCAAATGTCAACACTACATATATGCACACCCCTACATTCAAAGGCAAACACTGCACACAAGTAAACCACTGCTTTCAAATGGCTACAGTGCATAAAAAAACACACTACACACGTTCCTACATTCCCCCACACATAATCCATACAAAAATATACTTACATTTAAACACACAAACACTGCTCAGTGCTAAATAAAACCCTGCAAGGATGTGCAAATTGTAGATCCAAAGCAGGCAAAGCATTGTCGGAATTGTACGGCAAATAGGGATCTACCTTTTGGCCATCCTTGCGATAGAGTGGGCTCAAAACATTCTTGCACCAGGGCCCTCTCTCCTCTAGTTCCGCCGCTAAACAGACATTGAAGAAGGGGGAAGAAAAGACATGAAAGGGAAGGGAACAGAGACATGGATGGAAGGGGGGCAGAAGAAACATGGATTCTGCAATCCATGGGGTAGAGGTGAGCTGAACAGACAGTACAGTGTGGCTACATCTAAGGTGTGACACATTACCTACCTGTCTGAGGCTGCAGTTTGCAGAGTGATTAAGGGAGTTTTATATATATATATATATACACACATACACGTTTCATAATTGCCCCCTACTTTTGTCCCTGGCCCACCATGTGCCCCCCTGAATATGAATCCTTGGGACATCACTTCATATGGAACCCTGTGACAATGGGCAAATGGTAGACCCAGAGCTGGCAAAGGATCATGGCAGTTGTGTAGATCTACTTTTTGTCTAACCCTGCTTTGGGGGCCCGTTTTTTTATCCAGGGCACTCTCTATGTTAGTTCCACCACCGAGGCTGCATCGGGAAAGTTACGTTCTGCCACCAACATCCCTGGTGCTGACAACTTATGACAACCCAGCTGGTAGACCTGGAAAGTTTGTTTTTAATATCCCTAGCAGCAATAGAAGGGCATAATAAGGGAAAAGATAGGAGGGAAACTGCAGTTCTAAATATAGGTCATTATTATTAATATTATTATGATATTTATTTAGCGCCATCAAATTCCGCAGTGCTTTACAATGGGTAGACGAACAGACATGTAGTTGTAACCAGACAAGTTGGACACACAGGAACAGAGGGGTTGAGGGCCCTGCTCAATGAGCTTACATGCTAGAGGGAGTGGGGTAAAATGACACAAAAAGGTAAGGATAGTATTAGACTAGTGACAGTTGCAGAAGAGGAATCAGTCAGGAGCTATTGACAGTTTAATTGATACGGTTTTTTATGAAGAAGTGGGTTTTTTAACGATTTTTTGAATCAGTGGAGACTGGGTGAGCATCTAACGGAGGAGGGAAGCAAGTTCCACAGGAATGGTGTAGCCCTCGAGGTGGGAGTACAGACAGAAGATAGACGTAAGTCTTCAGCAGATCGTAAGGGCCTAGACGGGACATACTTGTGTATAAGGGAGGATAGATAGGTGGGAGCGGCATTATGTAGAGATGTGAAAGCAAGAACCAGAATTTTAAATTGAGCTCTATATTTTATAGGAAGCCAATGTAGGGACTGACAGAAGGGTGAGGCATGGGAGGTGTGGGCGGACAACACATATTTGATAATATTTCATAAGCAACACATATTTGACACATATCAAAGATGTAAGTTAACACAAAAAAAGGTGAAAAAGAATATAAAGATTAAAATAGTTTAATAAATTAATTGCAATAAAAACTGGTGGGGCACAGCCCCAGCTGCCCCAATGGATGAGATTCGACTGTTAGCAGCACAGGTTACTGAAAATAGCAACAGAATGCATAAAGAATGTCTACATATGACAAACATATATACATACAGTAAATACAGTTAAATCATATATCTAAAATAAAGACACTTACAAAGTGCTATATCAATCTTTAGCAATCTCTGGGATGCTAACATAATGCTATCACTGAAATGAGAGAGCCCATTCTCTCCTCCCCCTCCTTGACTGTAAGGATGAATAAACCATTTAAACTTTCTTTACTGTTTGGTAGGAAATGAGTGTTGGTATTTTCAGCACTCTTGCAGACCTACAATTAGTGGTTAGGAGCTCCAGGGAGAGAAAGTAATTTATTGACAGGCTAGTAACCATTCCTAGAGTATAAATGAAGATGAGTGAGGCTTTATGGACTAAATTCTGTTTTTCAAAGTAAAAACATTTATGCACAATTGTGGGAGTGATGGATTAGTTTGAGTTATACCTTGAGATAATGAGAGTTCAGCTAATTTCTGTGGAAGGTCAGCGGTCTCTCCTCCAGCTGGAGAACCCAGGATGTCTGGTAAGGCATTGCGGCGACCTGCTCTTCCTGATGATGCAAAATCTGTGACTCCAGGCTCCACATCAGTCATTTCGGCCCTCTGTCTTCATAGCAACATCTATAGATAGATAAACAGAAAATGTACATTACTTTAGTCACTCTGAGATAACAGAACAAGACATTAACGAACTTTCCATGGAAATCTGTAATAATCTGGCAGGTATCTTTAGCAGTCATTCAGTATTTGTATTCATGATTGGATTTAAGTCTCAGGTGCATAAAGTCATAGATTTTTAGGTGCCCCTTAACTCAGCCCCCCCTCCACCCCCTCTCAATAAAAAAGTTGTACTTTATTGTGCTGTTTTGATTCCATAGGTAATTTTTATTGAATATAAGTTTTCAGAGAAGTTACATGCAGGTACTGAGATTATACAGTGAACAAAATCAAAACCAAAGCAAAACAAAAGGCCAAACTGTTTATGCATGCAGCCGGAGCAATGCCTCACATAGTGAATACCAAACATTGGTCCTAAATTGCATACACAATATCATGGCTAAAGCATCTAGATTCTGAATAATCTGTTGGATACACCGTGAATAGTGGGGAGTTGAGTTGATTTCCATATGTTGGAATAGTAGTAGTGATCGCTGCTGTTATGATATGGATGGTAAGGGCGTTCCTCTCTCCTTTCATATCCGGCAAAGACATGCTCAATAAATATATCTCTGGTTGCAAGGGGTACTTGTAAGTGATAGTTTTCTGAATCATAGCTTGAATCTTATGCCAGTATGCCTTTGGCACTGGACAGGACCAAATATAAGTGTGGTTCATCTCCAGGATCCACATCTCCAGCAGGTTGATTGCGTTGAAGGAAAAATAGAGGCCATGCATGTTGGGACTAGATAACATTGATCATTGACATCTGGAAGTGTTCTGCATTTGATATGAAGCCACAAACCAGGTCTCAATAGGTTTCCTTCCCGAACTCCCTTTCCCATTGCAGTATATATGAGTGTTAGTGGGTTGCAGTGGAGATAGCTAATTGTTGATAAAATGTTGAGAAAGGTTTTGCATTATGTGTCTCTGATAGGATCATAATATACTGGTATTGGTATAGCTAGCATTGTGACTCGTGAAAATGTGCTTATTTCAGAGATATGCAAACATCTCTCTAGATGGAATAGAATACTGGTCTTTTAACTCTGCAAATGTTCTCAGAAGCTGAAGGGTCGAGCAACTGGGAAACTTTGGACACTCCTGCTTTAGTCCAGTTTGGAAGACTTTGGTCTTGGGAAAGAAGTGGGAGCTTTATCAACGGAGCTAGATATAAACAAGGGCAGGCCACCACCAGCCATGGAGCCCTCCTGCACCACTAAGTTATGGAGTGTTTAATGGTAGTTAGCATTTTCACTGGTAGGGGACCCATGGACTTTGGAATTTATAACAATTGAGATACCTGAAATGGCTGAATACTTTTGTTTTCCAGTATCCCCCACAGTGGAGGTGAGATTATCTGAAGCACAGAGACTATTTGGGCTAAAGAGGTAGCTATGAAGTACATTTTAAAATTAAGTACAGTCAAAACACCTAATGTGGCGGGTTGACGACTTGTTTATGGGACACCCGAGGAGGATGATTTCTATGCATGCAACTCTTAACCAAGTTATTCTAATGCTTAATGATATATTGTGGAAAGGGAAGGGTTCAGAATAGGTATAGAATTGTTGACAAGACAATCACTTTGAGCGATTTTATTCTACCCTGAGATGAAAGTACTAATTTGAGAGACATTTGTGTGAATTTTTTATAAAAGCTTAGTATGGTTGAGATGGATTATCACCTGGGTTTTCTTGGCTAACTGAATTCCCAAATAGGAGAGGGAGGAACTTCTCCAGTCAAATGGATGCTGTTGCTTTAACTTTTCCACTATCTACACGGGCATCCCTATAAGTATCTCCTACTGAGATTGTTCTTATAAAAGGATATCTTTCCATACTCCGGCAGTAGGGCCTGTAACTGTGACAAGGAGGAAACAGGTTCTATTATACTAAGAATTATGTAATTGTCAAACTGTGACAACTTATTCCTTGAGTCATTTAGTGTGACTCCTTGAATTTCTGGGGAGTGTCTTATTGTTGAGATTAGTGGTTCTAATGCCAGGGAGAATATTAAGGGAGAGAGGGCATCCCTGCCTGGTTCTGTTTTGGATTCTGAAACAATCAGACAAAAATCCTGAGTTTAGAATTCTTTCTGATGGAGATGAGTAAAGTACACCAACAACTATTATAAAAGGTTCTGGAAAACCAAAACGTTCTAGCATTGTGTACATGTAAAGCCAATCTAGTTGGTCAAATGCCTTTCGGCATCCAACAAAAGTAGGATGGCGATCTTATTCCTAGCTGATTATCTCCTTGTATTATTCTATGCTTGCCATCCAGTGACACAACCCACTATTCTAAGTTCTCTCAAAATAATACTGTGTAATAAGGGGCTAAGTCTTGAGCCCAGAAGTTTGACATATAATTTCCAAGTGATATAGGTTGGATGTTAGGGCTGGAGAGGGGGATGTTGCCTGGTTTGGGAAATGTAATGATAGCAGCTTCTAACATTTCCAGTGGGAAATTCCATACAAGAATGGGATTTTTGTCTATATCTAATTTTGTTTTTAATCTGGATGCTAACAGTTTTATTGCCTTGTTCCACTGATTATAATACACATGTCCTAATTTTATCAGTCATCTTTCTTGATGGGTAAGCTGGAGAGCTTATAGTTCATATTTTATTTGCACAATTTGTGCTATGCCCTTAGTAGTAGGATCATTTTTACTGATCCCTTCTAAGGAGCTAAGGCATCTCTGTAATGAGTTAACCCGTTTGATAATGAGTAACCTCTGCATAACTGGCTTAGGGGTTAGACAGATTGAGGTGACCAATGTACTATCATAAGTATTATGAAGGAAATACTATTTTAGCATGGTAAGTTTTGACTGGGGAAACCCCTGTGTTCAATGGGAGTGTTTTGTTTAGACGCCACGCCCCCCCGGCCTCTGGTAGGGAAGTTTGTTGTAAAGGAAAAGGACATCGGAGCATGAGCAGGCCAACTAATAGCCTGCTTGTTTAGCCCTGCATAATAGATAGTAGTAAATTAGGTAGAGATCAATTCTAGAGTAACGTTGATGGGGAATGAAGTGTGTGTAGTCTAGACGGTTCAGATTGAGTGCTGACCAAGAATCATATAAATCATATTTTTTTTTAACAACCAGGTAGGCACTCGCCCCATTTTCCCATTGTGTTGCTTGTTTTGAAAGGCTGAATAGAAGTTACATAGTTACATAGTTACATAGCTGAAAAGAGACTTGCATCCATCAAGTTCAGCCTTCCTCACATATGTTTTTGCTGTTGATCCAAAAGAAGACAAAAAAACCTAGTCTGAAGCGCTTCCAATTTTGCAACAAACTCGGAAAAATTCCTTCTTGACCCCAAAATAGCAGTCAGATGTCTCCTTGGATCAAGCAGCTATTACCCCACTAATTAGAAATTATATCCCTGTATGTTATGTTTTTGCAAGTATTTGTCCAATTGCAGTTTAAACATCTGTATAGACTCTGACAAAACCACCTCTTCAGGCAGAGAATTCCATATCCTTATTGCTCTTACTGTAAAATAAAACCTTTTCTTTGCCTTAGATAAAATCTCCTTTCTTCCAGCCTAAATGTGTGACCTCGTGTCCGGCATGTGATCCAACACACAATTTATGGCCCCACACACAAACACGGAGTCCTCTTTAAGTGACTGTAATTTTTCAAAATATTTGGGTGTGTAAAAGTACAATTGTGATTGATTTTAAGTTGAGTTTGCTTGCTAAGATTATAAATCTGCCTTCATTATTAGTAAATTCTGTAGATAGAGAAAATGCTAATTTTCTGTGCAACAGAACCACCCCTCCCAGATTTCTGCTATACATAAGAGTGATCAGTCAAGAGATATTTCTTTGAAAAGAAGGGGGTTTGTATTTACAGTAGTTGGTTTCTTGGATACACACTATTATTGGGTTTGCTTGATGAGTTTCCAAAAATAACATCCTATGTTTGTGTTGCATGTTTAGACATCAAGCGTTGTGAGTATACAGTAATTAGCTTTTTAGAGCCATGGCCTACTGTGTTAGGTAGAACTGTGCATTCTGGTACCTGTACATATTACATACTGTTGTTACTTGGGTGGTGATGCATGGTCAATGTGAGGATCTGGAGATCACTGAGATAGAACAGGTATTCGTGAGTGTCGGTTGAAGTGACTTGAGTCGTGAATCTGTCTTGCACTTTGCCGACAGGGAAGGTGGTCTTTGAAAAGGAAGAGGAATAAGAGAGGAGGATGAAAGAGAGAGGGACCAAGAAAGAATGAAGGGGAAAAAAACACAATGATAGAGAACTATTAAACTGTCAGGTATATAACTGGCTATGACAACTAGTGCTGATATTTACTGACAATACATAACAAGACTTAGAGAGGGTAGGAAAAACAATATTGCAACTTGGTGTGTAAAATATGACAAAATATACACCAAAAAGTACACACTCTTAAACATCAGTGTGGTATCCTCTCTACCCACACACATAAATTAAAAATGATTCATACATACAATAGGCGAAGTTTGTAGGTTCTTGGGTAGATGGTTTTAGGTAATACAGAAATATATAACGATGCAAGCTGAAAAAACAAAGGGGATAACCAAATCCCAGTGCAATATTGCCAAGTATGAAAGTATGAGTAAAGAAAATCTCTAGTCTTGTACTTACAAGGATGGAGCCATTATCACTAGGCTCCATATGTAGGCGTGTGGGAATATTTGTGAAGATTGCGTCTTGCAACACCAGAAACAAACTTTATACTGATTTTAATTGTATTATTTAGTTGTTGTCAGTAAAGTATCTCTTGCACTTAATTGGTGTCCAGTGGATCTGTGAGGTGGACCAGAGGACGTGAAACCAACGGGTGTACAAGAAGGGAGTTGGATCCCCACAAATATTCCCACACGCCTACATATTGAGCCTAGTGATACTGGCTCCATCTTTGTGAGTACAAGACTAGAGATTTTGTTTACTCATACTTTCATACTTGGCAATATTGCACTAGGATTTGGTTATCCCTTTTGTTTTTTCAGCTTTCATCATTATATATTTCTGTATTACCTAAAACCATCTACCCAAGAACCTACAAACTCTGCCTATTGTATTTATGTTTAGGTATATATTAAAAGGCCCGGGGTTTCCGGCATGTGATCCAACACACAATTTATGGCCCCACACACAAACACGGAGTCCTCTTTAAGTGACTGTAATTTTTCAAAATATTTGTAGATCAGAACTTTGTGGCAATCTATGCATTACATTTGGAGGGTAGGAGTGATGGTGAGTACACACTCACAAATACACATTAAACTGTGGAGCTAACCTGATGACCTACTGGAGTCCCTGCATCAAATCAGTAGGAGTAAGGAGGACAAAGGTGTCAACCTGATGCTATTGGCAACAAACAAGGCAAAAAAGTATACTGGCTCTCAACTAGCAAGTACAAGTAGATATGAACCAATTGCCTAGAGCTTTGTAGATCTATAAGCATGTTTGTTTGTTTTTTTTGTTTTGTTATATTTTGCAACACTTAATTATGAACACTATAGGAAGCTCAACAGTAAGGATACTACTTCAGACAAAGGTTGAACTTGGTAACTGGACTTCTCAAGTGGTGTCCTATCTTGGAGATGTGCACAGTGACTTGCTTGTTGGTATTGACAAGATAAAATACAGGTTGTACCTATTTGAATTAAGTAAAAACACAATTAAATATAGTTCTAAAATGTAAATTGTCTTATTATTCTTAATAGTCACAAATAGGTCCTTATGGTTAAAGAGTACTTTGTAGATTGCATAATTTGGGAAACCATCTGATATTCTAAGGTCAGCAGATGAAATATGCAATGAAAATAAACACAGAAAAGACCTCTGATAATGTAGCACAGGCTTTCCCAAACTCCGGCCCTGTTGTTGAACTCCCATGATTCTATGAATGAAATAGATAGGCTGAGAATCATGGGAGTTGTAGTTCAGCAACATCTGGAGGGCCGGAGTTTTGGGAAGCCTGGTGTAGCATTTTCATAAAATGGTGTATTATGAAACAAATTGGAATACACTCACAAGAAATGAGCTCCTAACTAGCTCAGCTTCAGTAGCTTGTGACAATATAATCTGTGTCAGAGATATAGCTAATGGGTATGCATGCAGGACATGAATTGCATGTGGTGTAGACTTGACCACAGCCTGGTCGGGGCGTCTCACAGTTGGTCAGACTGTTACTTGAATTATCCAATTTACAAAAAACTTTTTTTACCATTAAGACCTATTTGGGACTATAAAACAATAAGGTAATATCTTTCAGAAATATATTTAATTGTTATCCTTGTATTTTTTCTTATTACCATTAGGTGGAATTTGTATTTTATCTTTGGAATTCCTCTATTTATCTGGTTTGGGGTTGAGGGTATCCCAGTTATCTGTGTTTGTTGTTCCCGAGCTAGCACTGTATCTAATCCCCTTTTCTTTCACTGCTCGTTGGTATTGCTGGGTGCCATTCACTGTTTTGGTGGTAATGCACCCATATTCTGGTTTCAAATTCCAGGCTTGCAGTGTCTTTAGGCATTGGTTCAGCAAAGAGAGGCTATTTTGTAATCCATTGTGCCATATCAGAAGTTTGGTGAGATAGCCCCTTCTGTAAGGAATTGAGCTGTTTTGAAGACATTTTGTACTTAGGATAAATTCTCTACTTATCCAACATGGCTGTAGAGAGATCTGCATATATGCAGAGGTGTTGGAACGGGTCAGGACTTTAGTTTTTTCTTTTAGACACCATAATTAAGTCATTTTTGTAGTGGAAATAGTGTAGCCTGACAATGGTGTCTTTGGAGGCTGTTTCAGGGACTTCCTTTGGTTTAGTCAGTCTGGGTGCCCTGTCTAATAGCCAGTTCCCAGTCTGTGAGGCCGGAAGTATAACTTGGAAAACTGAGACAACAAATGTGGGTATTTCATCAGCTCTAACAGGATTTAGGTACACCCCTCATCCTGACATTATTCCTCCGTGCCCTGCCTTCCATATCTGTTTCCTTGAAAGGAAGTTTATCCTGATCTGTCTCTAGCATGAAAAGTTGGTCAATCAACTCTTTGTGAGCTCCTTCATGCGGCCTTCTAGATAGTCCACATCTTTCTTCATGCAGGTCTGCAGTGATACCCCAAATATCTGCCTGGAGTGTGGCCCTCAGGGCCTGTAGCATGCCATGGAACTTCTCCTCCATTACTGGGGCACACTCTGACAACTGGGTATTTTCAACTTGGACATGGTGTCAGACATAGATGATCTTGCCCTTGAGCAGACACCATCTTGTCTCGTGCATGCCTCGTCTTGCGGTTGAATCAAAGCCATTTTCTTGTCTCTGGCTGGTTTGTGGGTTTTATGGGGAGACATCACATTCCCAGTAGTGGGTAAGTCTGATTGATGCTTCACAGCAGTGACAGTTGCAGCTGGATTGGTTGCTTGGCCTGTATACTCGTGGAGCGATGCTCACATGTGACCGCTCTCCACTGTGTTCCAGAAGCGTCCCGACACTGGAGCTATTTAGTGATCAGAGACAAAATTAAAATACGGACACAAAAACTTTGTTTTCAAATTCAAGGTTGATGCCCTTAGCACTGACAACCCAAAGGCAGCTGCCAGCTCTGACTATAGCCATATCCACAAATGGGAATATCTAGGAGTGTGCACACTCAAATGTAGCAGAAAGAAACTAAAAGAAAAAAAAAGCTTTTACGTAGGTCAGAATAAGTGCCTAGATTACTATGGCTGGATTATCAAAAAATCAACACGAGCAAAAGAAAATATCAGGCTCACTGGTGAAACTTACATTTATTAGAAGATCATGCCAAATTACAAATGTTTCAGGACCCCATTGCTTTATCAATGTATCAATGTTCTTGAAATAAAACCGTGCACTTACCCAAATAGATAGAACGTGGAAAAAATAAATAAACCTCCACCAACCAAACACCAGCTCCTACTTTTTCCTTTTCTCATGTTGCCATATCCAGCACTGTTTGTATTGGAAAAACATATCCAGCAGATAAATCCAAACAGAGAAACAATCTTTCTATTCTTAGATGTTACTATATGAGAATGGTATTAAGGCTTTAATAATATGCATCTCCCTTATAGTCTAGTGGCTAAGTAATTGTTTTTCACCTTGACAGCCTGGTAAGATTTTATTTTACCTTTGTATTGTTTCGAATCTATCATAAATGGCCAGAATCAAGAAATGTCTCTAACGTTTCTGATTTGTTTGTTGACGTTGTGCATTTTTTAGACGGCAATGCCCAGTTATGTGGTTATGAGCTGCAATAGACAATACAAATATAATCTTCCATTGTCAATGTCAGAAACTGCAGAAAATTGATAAGGGATTTACAAATTTGGAGAACTGGCAATATTTTTGTTCTAGAACAGTCTATAGTCCAGTCAATAACTGAAAAACTTAAAACTAAAGTGGTATCAGCATGCTCTATCAGCAAATAATAATAATAATATATTGCTATCATTAAATATCAGCAAGTTTGTAATGTTTATATTTTATAGTAACAAGATTGGCAGCCCACTACATAAGGCAGCTTTAGATTACGAATAGTGAAAACAAATTCTACTAAAATATTCAACTTGATGAAAGCAGTAAGTGCAAGACATGACAACAATATGCTAAATCTATAATCGTTTTTAGTTTATGCTGATTACCTATGTTGGTAGCATAGTTTATCACATCTTGATATCAGTCTGTAAAATCCTCTAAATCCCACCAGGGGTTCTTCGGTTTTAGTTCTAAACTTGTGAGTAACTACATGTTCTACCTGGGGGTGTCCCAGCAAGATACAATTTAACGATGGAGAAAAAAAATAATAATCACATGCTTTGATATAGTCTTTACAGAGCTGATAATTTATTCCACAAAGCAGCAGGAGACATGTCTAAAGAAACGGACAATCTTCCAAATGCATTTGCTACAATAAGCAAATTGTACATCTCTCAAAGCAGATACAGTAGGCCATGCTAATCACAGGCTGTATGAGAATAATTACATATATCAGATGGAGACTTAACTGATTCTCAGCTTAGATTACTGCATATGTGAACCCAAGATTCATGATACATTTCAATTCATACCGTATAAACCAGTGATTACTAACAACCAAATTCAGAATGACAAAGATTATTGCGTGAGAAAACTCATTAAACAATATTGCATGACATATATTTTATCCCCCTCCCTCCCATAATATGCATGTTTATTTTAATACCACAATATTCCTTCCTAAATTGTTATTTGGCCCCAAAATTTTTTTTACTTCATTAAACCAATGTGTTTAATATCCTGAAATATGAGATCATCAAAGAAGGAACGTTATTTTCTGCATGCATGATGCATGTATATTCATGACAATGTAGGAGCTTTTTATCACAATTAGATCACAATGAAAACATTGGCTTTTAAAATTATAGTAGGTTAAGGAGTCTGATGTTTTTTTTGTTTTTTTTTAGAAAACTACAATATTACATAGTACAATATGTAATTAGGGGTAACAGCATGGTGATCAAAGGAGATATCCGATTGCAATTTGGGAATCATTCCCCCTCTTCACTGTCCCTGCAGGCTTTTTAATGTAAACACACTGCCTTTTCAGATAAAAGACACTGTGTGCAGAACTGGCGTTGGCCCATATGGCAGATCAAATAGGTGTGGCAATGTGATGTCACAAGGTGGGCAGAACATATGAGGGGCAGCAAATTTGTGTTTGCTTAGGGCAGCAAAATTCTTGCACTGTCCCTGACTATCCCAATTTTCTATGTACATTTAAATAACTGGATGGGGAGTATTGTACTATAGTCATTGCTGCCGCCCAGGAGTAGTGAGAGTTTAAGTGCAGGGCTTACTTTAATATGTTTGTATTTGTTTTTGTATTAAACAGCCAAGAGGGCTTAATTTTGCATGTTTGTATTTGGTTTTGTATTAAAACAGCCATGTTACAGCGCTGCCTGCCGACCCCATGTGCTCCCTATTTTAGCTCAAATTTCATGTTTTTTTTTGGTTGAGAACATGTACTATTGCCTTCCGTCCCCAAGGGGTTAAACAAATTCAGTTTATCATTGAAATTCCTTATTCCAGGATGCTAATACCCCATTACACGCTGATAACCAAATTGAAAAGTAGTTTAATGAACAAAATAATAATGAGTATCTTCCAAATACACAGCTGAAAACATGTCATCCATTATTTAGGGGACATAAAAAAAGTATATAATCGTTTCACTTTCTTAATCGTGCACATGCTAATAGCTTAGGTAGGATTATGCTCTTACTTAGCATATTTATCATTTCTATTGTACTCTACTCTTCATCCTGTCTTCTATTCATACCACTGCCAATGAGTCATATCTCAAAATAAGTTATTTGATTGTTACAGAGGACAACGAGAAAACAGCTACAATCATGCAAACACCATATTCTGATGGGAACCAGGTGCATAGACTATATTGAATGGTAAGGCCAGACAGAATAACATACGTCTGCCCATTCAGTCAGTACATAAGTCAATACAATGACTCATTCCATAGACTTTCTCTTTAACCTTTCGATCTGTTCTTTTTGTTTTTTCTTCTTGAAGTCATATTAACAACCAACTGAAATGGTATTTTGGTTTACCAACATAAAAATAAAACATTGGCTTCTTTTCTGTATTTAAGAGTATTGGTTTGTTTAAACACTGTGTAAATTGGTATGTGGCTGTCAGGACTACTTATAAAATTATATGGATGATAGGAATTCCATTGCCTTTCAGTTATATATAAAAAAAATAAGGGAAAGAATTGTATTCGGAATTATTTGATACATTTCTTCCTACATGTTCTAACACTCCTAACATCTCCCAGCTTCCCTTTCTCCATTTATTTATTCAGTTTGTTCAGAAGTTATTTTAATATTGCCCCTGAACCCTCCGTGGACTCCACTGCTTTTAGAGAACATTTACAATTACAACTTTTTTATATATTTTTTTTTTTTTTTTTTTTTTTTGAGATAAAACTTCACAAACATACATGAAAAGTGACATGTAGTCATTACAATAACTTGATACCATTAGGTCTGGAAATATTTGGACACTAATGCAGGTTTTGTTATTTTGGCTATTTACCAAAATTGAATTCAAGTTACAGTTAAACAATGAATATGGGCTTAAAGTGTAGTCTCTCCGCTTTAATTTGAGGGTATTTATATCCACATTGGAGGAAGGTTTTAGGAATTACAGTTCTTTAATATGTGGCCCCCTCTTTTTAAAGGTACCAAAAGTAATTGGACAATTGACTCTAAAGCTCTTTCATGGACAATCATAGGGTATTTCTTCATTATTACTTCACCAAGTAAGCAGATAAAAGGGTCTGGAGATGATTCTAGTTGTGGCATTAAGCCTGTTGCTGTGAACCCACAACATGCGGTCTGGGCCTGTCTTAGGGGTGTGCTATGCGGCCGCACATAGTTGTGTAGTGCATGATCTTGTCCCAGAGCTTATTGTTGTGGAGCTCTGTGATAAATGGAGAAGTAGCACATTACTACAAATTTTTATTCCAAAGAGATCAAGGTAAATAAGTATAATCCAGTGCTCGAATGCAAAAATACTCACAGTATTATGTGACATACTTAGTCTGCTCCTCTGTAATGTAGGGGAGGCAGTCTGGCACTTCTGGCCTGCACTTTTGTTGGCTGCAGGCCATAAGTAGCTGACTTCCTAGCTCGGGATAATCAGAGCACTGCGCAGATTACCACAGGACACTGCAAGTCCCTGACCTTGCGAGACAGTTACGCATGATCTGTACCCAGTGGAGGGGCAGATCAGATTCAGATCAGCATGCCCCTCTCCCAACTAGGTAACAACAGGAAAGGAGGAATGAATATTTGTTTTTAAATCATTATTAATTTAATAAATTCCAATCACTACACTCCTACACACACACACTATACATGGATGACAGAGGGGGGTGCTGTTAAGATTATTCGCACAGGGCGCCTAAAGGCCTAAGGCCGGCCCTACATGCAGTCAAAGGAGATCTCAATGCAAGTGAAGCAGGCCATCCTAAGGCTGCAAACCAAACAAAAATCCATCAGAGAGATAGCAGGAACATTGGGAGTGGCCAAATCAACAGTTTGGCACATTCTGAAAAAAAAAAAAATAGAACGCACTGGTGAGCTCTGCAACACAGAAAT